GTAGTAGTAGTAGTGGTAACTAGTAGCGATAACTGCGCACCAGTAGTGGTAACTTGCAGGTGTAACTACTGGTAGCAACTAGTGGTAGTAACTCACTCCTTGTAGTAGTAAGTAGTAGCAGCAGCCAGTAGCAGGTAGCAGGACTTGTAGTTGAAGGCGCAGTGGTGTGAGGGCTACAATGGCAAGCTCAGTGGCTGATTGGAAGTTCTGCCGTGGTGCACTGCGCAAAAACCGAAAAATCCGATACCAACTCGTCAAGCCTTGGAGCGAGGCACCTTCCTTCCTGCAGCAGCGGAGTCAGAGCCAGCAGGCCGAGGCACCAGCTCCAAAGAGGGGGGGGGGGGGTGGTTGGCTGTTCCATCACCGACCTTGTTTTTGTTTGCTCTGGGAATTATACAGGTTTATGCTGTGTGAATGACAGGTGTTTCTGCAAAGCTGAGGTATGCATCATCCAGATGTGTTTTGCGCTCTAGAGAAGGAGTGTATGCTGAACCGGTATCCAGTTGTCATCAACTGAAGATGGCCTGAACATGTACAGTGGTGCCCTTTCTGCACAGCAGTCTGGTCTGGGTTCTACGATTTTCGTCCCATTTTCGTTCCCTGGACGAAAAATGTTCCCTGCACCATGGCAGCAACGTCGTACTCTCGGGGTCCAGTCTCGTCTCATCCATCGTAACGAGTCAGACACCAACTGCAGGACTAAAAAGCCGAGAGGGGTTACTTCACAAGCGTAGAGACTCTACTATTACAAGAAATTGAAAGCAGACAAGTACTTTGCTTCATCTCCCTTATGCTGTATCCCATGCAGACGGAATTGGTAGATAGGTCAGGAGGGCATAAGAGCAGCACTGTGAATGCCGTTGTGACACCCAGCACGCAAATGACGTTAAACTTGACATAGCGGAGTAAGCCTCAAGTGCGGAGAATCGTTGTGACAGATGGGTACCGTGCAGTTGACAAGCATCCCAATATCCACAGGCATGTAGATGCATCGTATGCAAAGCCTGGAAACAAATCCTTAAAGGAACCAAGACAAAGGACACTGGATGAAACCCAGCATAGATCAACACATGTTTAGTTCGATTGTATAAGGTTGCGAGACTCAACAGCCAATTGGCCGGCAGCTAATGGTTTCTATGCATACTTTGCGCACGCATATGGCGCGTTCTATCGTGAGAGATAGACGAGTTGCGCAAAAACATCGTTCAGGTTGTTCGGTTTGTTATCTTCCGGAAGTCTTCAATGGAGCCTAGTGCGCAAATGCTTTTTCTCCGGCAGATGTTCATAAAGAGAGTCATGCATAGGAGAAGAACATGTGGCTGGGAAGGTGGCGCTGGCAAAGACAGTAGTTCGCCGGTTCGCTCGAGAGGGGGAGAAGATGTCGGTCATTGCACATGCTTACGTACGATGTGAAGACACCAATAACATTATGGCATGTTGTCGCAAGTGCCAGAGGGGCTGGTTAAGAGAAAGGATGTTTTGGAAAGTTGGCTCATGCTCGAAAGGGTTCTCAATGGCTGATGATCTCGAGAACTCCACCGGCAAGTGAACCCAACAGTGAGGCTAAGTAGTTGCTTGAAACTGGTTGCAAAAACGGGTTGACGGTTCTATTTCAGGATATCTCTGGTGCTTGGGGTCCCGCCAGGATGTCCTCGATGATGCGCACTGGGAGCGGCGCCTCGTCGAGTGCTGCCCCCAAGATACACCAGAATTTAATGTGCAATGATCGGGGGCCGATCGGAGTTTCGTGTGTCGCAGATGATCAGATGGGCTCGGAAACCTTGGCCAACGAGGAGCGGTCGGTGCTCGGCGCTCGTTCGTCTTGCGGATGGCGACGCGGACCTCTACATGGGCTCGGAGCTCGGAGGCAGAGGAGTCTGCCTGGTGTCGGAGCTCGAGTGCCGACATGCAGGTTCACTTCGTCGTTGCCGAGGCTTAGGATCGCAGCCCATAGTGGGTGAATAATTCAAAGAAGTTTGCATCATCGGATGTAGCATTCCATGGAGTCCCACGGACCAAAGGTGTAATCGGAAAACTCAGCCATCCGCGGTGGAGTTCGACAGGTCCAGTGTCTGATGTGACGAACCCAGGTCCTCGCAAAGAAGGGGGTTATGCGAACTGGGTCGGAGTGAAGACCAGCGACTGCAGCGGAGGGTCCATGCACACAGTTTCGCTGAACGCGAGATCCCTGCCGCAGTTGGAGCTTTAAGGTCATGCTACCTGGGACGACTACAGCAAGATGATGCGGATCTTCAAGTGCCCGGGGTTTGATTTCTTGACGGGTACAGGTTCAACTTCAGAAAGCCGAGTTCGAGAGCTAAAGGTCCCGTCTCTGTTGAGCTGCGTGTGCAGGTTCTACAACTTCTCGCTTCCAGAAGCCGAGACTGCGGCGACCAAGATCTCGTTTTCATCCTACCCGGGGGTCATCACAAGCCGGCGCCCTGGAGCCAGAGGTAAAGCTCGGTGAATCTTTCAGCTGTTGGGTTCCGTACACATTGAAGGAATATTCAGTACCTTGAGAACTGAGTAATTAGGTAGCTTCGAACCCAGTCCACAGGGTCCCGCGGCTGTGTTCTGCGACCAACGTACCTGTTCACGAGCTTCGGCTTCAAGACTTCGAGCATGCTGCAAATTCAAGCTGATGCTCACGAGAGGAAAGATTGCTCACCGAGAGCACAGCTACAGTTCCAACCAACCAACCCGTCAGGACAGTTAGGACAGCCTCAGCTGTAGGGTTAGGTATGCCGACCACCATTCCATTGGATGCGCCCCAGCGAGTGGGCGATCCGACTGTGCTGAGGGCACTACAACAACAGTATGGTGGCGGCAGACAGGCTGATAAAGACGGCAGCCTGTATGCTCATATCGGCAACAAGCCGATCCCTCCGCCCAAGGCACTGCGAAAGATCCATGCGCACCGTCAAGAGGAGCGACAGCAGCAAGCGGATGAGCAGGAGGCAGAGGAGTTCGAGAGGAAGATGGGCATGGAGGTCAGGGAGAGCCGCACAGTTTTTGGAGAAAGCGCAGTCACCGAGGTTGCGGCGGCGGCCCTAAGACGCCGTGAGGCTCAGGAGCAGCTCGATGGCTGCGCCCTTTCGGAGGCTGCGAGCTGCTACGAGCTTTCGGGCTGCGGTTTGGCGGAGTGCAACGGTCGCTACGACTTTTCCGAAGCCTCGTCCCGGGGTGCACCGGTGTACCAGAACCCTGCGGGTTGGATCCTTCACATGGACAGGGTGCCAGAGCTCGACCAGATTGGGACGGACGACGAGAAGTACCAATTTGGTTGGCTCGTGTCCAAGGACCGGAAGCCTTTCTATGGTGTGCGGACAAATGATGTACAGATCCCCAGCGTTGGCTGGCAATGCTTTTATGGCCCACCTCCAGGGCCGGCCGCTGTTCGTGGCACTAACTGGGAAGAGCACTTCCTGGCCACTGCGGGGTCTTTGAAAGAGGAGGGCAACGTAGCCATGAAGGCTGGTCGCTCCAGCGAGGCAGAGCAGCACTATGGCGAGGCCATCGGTCTGATGCTCGGCTACGATGGGGTCGTGGAGGCCTCAAGGGCCCTCCGTGAGCTTCAGCTGGCTTTGTTTGCTAATCGTGCAGAGGCACGGCTTCGGCAACAGCTCTGGGAAAAGTCTTTGGAGGACAGCGAGTTTGTCCTGGCCAAGGACCCCCTCCATGCCAAGGCCGCTGTGCGCCTGGCGAAGGCTTGGAAGGGCCTTGGTTGTCTGGGTCGTGCAGCCGAGGCGCTGTCCCGGCTTCGGGGCCCACGAGGGGCAGGTACAGAGTTGGAGGCCTGGTACGAGGAGGCCGAGATCCTCCACGCTTGCGATGCTTGGGAGGCAGAGGCCAGCGCGGCCAGCGATGCTCAGAAGGAGGAGATGCCAACGGCACGTTGTGTGCTCGGTGTCCACAAGGCTGCGCGGCAGCTGCAGCAGAGGGCCACTGAGTGGGGGAGGCCGCCGAGAATTCAACGTGTGCATCTATGTACACAGAGTATACATATAAATATGCGTATTCGTTCTATGCACATATACATAAACATTTAAACACACACTTTTTTACATGCACATAGACATACACGTACATATACATATACAACCTTTACATATATATATATATACATATGCATGTGTTGAGTTTGGCAGGCTAGGGCGCACATGAATCATCCTGAGCTTGTAATGGGCTGCCATTTTGGTTCAAGTGTGATCCAAAACGGCAGTCCGTCTGTCTTTTGGAGGCGGGGG